TCTGCTTCCTGAAAGATCCTCTTTTGTTTTGGTTGGACAAGAAGAAAATCAATGAAGGGACACAGCTTAGAGGTCAATCCAGAAAGCTGTGAAAATATCCAAGTTTCATGTTGTTTTCTCGTCTGCTGAGGAGAATGATGTTTCTATGGAAAGAGGTAAAAAGGGACAGTGGGAACAGGGAAATGGCATCCAGGGGGAGGAAAGGAATCATCAGAGCCATAGAACTCGCTAGCAAGCTCCCGTCTCCCAGAGGGCACAGATGAGCTCTGGGGCGCTGATGAGCTGCTGGGCAACTTTGTGGACTAGGAACGGGACCAGTGAGGGAAGACACGGGATAAAAAGAACTCCTCTAAGTTTCCCAAGGAAAAGATGGTGTTTTTTTCCAGCTTGAGGTGGATTCTTGGCGAGATGTTCTAGTGATGATGGAGTAGACGAGTGATGGGCGTATGGATGTGGGACGCGCTGGGGTTCCTAGGTGGGAGCCAGCAAACATGAAAGGGAAAGGGTGAGTTTGTTCTCTCTGTCCCTCTCTGAGTAACTGGTACCGAGTGCCCACTGTGTGCCAGGGCTGGGGTCCAGTCTGATAGGAGGGGCATTGGTTATTCTAGAAGTTAGAGTTGTGCTTTGATCCTAAGGGACCTGGCGGGATGCTGTGAGGGAGGGAGCCAGTCCAGCCTGGTAACTGAGGGGGACTTTCCGAGGGCTTCTCCTTCATGCACACACATATGGGATGGGTGCGGGGTGGCTGGTAAAACATGGGGGACAGTGTGCCAGGAGCAGGGGGTGGTGTTTGTGAGGGCCCTGGGCGGGGAAGCCACTGAATTGGTGGCTTCTCAGGACAGGTTCCACATGTCCCCCTGCAGGAAGAACAGGTCACCTGGTAGATCTGGACGGGGCAGAAGGATCACACGGCAAGAGGCAGCACAGCCGGAACGGACCCTCCTGTATCTCTGAACTAGTCCACTCTAACCAAAACCTACTCCAGGCTCACAGAACAAGCTGCCCCAAGCTGGCATGGGAGGGAATTCTGGCTCTGCTGGTTTCCTGTTCGGACACAAGTCACTGTTTCCGGCCACAGGAACGTGGCTTCTCTGACCCTCCAGGGAAGACACCTTCTGGCTTGGAGGAAAGAGGTGTGCTGCTGCTCTTGGTTTCTGTCCTGGCGTGGGGTCTCCCAGGCCTTTATGGTGATGGCATCACCTGTCTGATCATGTCTCATGGGGGTCTACGGTTGAGGCCAAGCACCGACACGCGTGTGGTCGGCACCGGTCCTTTCCCGCACTGGGAGTGCGCCCACGTGGAGGTGGGTTCAGCATCTGTGCCCACCTAGTTAAGGCCCAGGGTGAGTCACGGCATCTGTGCCCCGCTTGCCTGTCTGAGGGATGGAAGCCACCGCCTTCACGCCCAGGAAGGTGACAGAGCACGGGCCTGGAGGAGAGCCAGGACACACAGGCAGTGGCTCTGGGGTGTTCATCCCGTCCCTGGCTTGGCGAGAAGGTCCCACGGTCAACAACCGACTTCACACCCTCTCCCATGAAGGCACAGACATGGCCTTGTTCACCTTTCTGTCATGAGCAGGACCACAGGCCCTGGACCCTGGGGGTTTCTTAGGAAATGCTTGCAGAGTGTGAATGTTTTAAATCTAAACACAGATGCAGAGGGGGCTTGGAGTTCATTCCAGGCTCCCGAAAGAACGCATTGAGAACAGACCACTGAGGGCTGTCCGATGCAGAGAGGTCGCCCCGTTCCTGTGAGTGTGGGATGGAGTCTGGGAAGGAAGTGGGTGCTGGGCTGCCCATCTGAGCCCTGCCCTCAGGCACAGAAGGTGTGTCCCTGGAGAAGGACCCACGGATGGAGTGGGACTGCAAACGCTATGACCTGGAGGTGGAAATTTCTCTGATTGCCACAAATACAGAGGAAGAAAAATTATTTCATTCACACCAGGAAGGCAAATGTACTTTTAATTGCCTTGAAAAATGACAGTAATTTTTTTTTTTTTTTTTTTTTAACTAGGCTCCAAGCCTGGCATGGAGACCAACAAGGGGCTTGAACTCAGGACCTTGCGATCAAGACCAGAGCGGAGATTAAGAGTCAGATGCTTAACAGACTGAGCCAGGTATGTGCCCCAATGCCAATCATTTTTCAGGCGATTATTCTGTATGTGTCCAACTGACCCTTCTGTCTTTTACTCTAAGTAGCATCTCCTGCCAGTGCAAACCTTGTCTCACAGGTGGGGGCACTGATCATCTGAGTTTTAGCCCCGCCCATCCTGCCTCTTTGAGAGTCCGCCCAGGATGCCTGGGCACCCCAGTTAGGAGGAGGAGGAGGTTGGATTGACTTCTGGAGGAGGGCAGCCAGTAAACTCATGGCTGGAGCCCACACACCAGCCCTGGGAAGGCCAGTAACATCTCTCAGGTCCACGAAGTCCTCCTGGCCACACCTGACTCGGAGCCCTCACCCAACACCCAGGGGCTGGTGAAGGAGGATCTGCACACACTGAGTGCCCACGGAGAGCTCGGCCCTCCCTGTGTGGACCCCAGAGCCCTGCATTTATCACCTTTTTTTAAGGTTCTACAACTCTAACAGCCCAGAAGGGAAAAGGAAGCAGAAGAAATAGTAAGCAAAGTGTAAATGATTTGAGATTCACCTGCTGTAACACACAGCCCAGAGAGCATGTGCGGCAAAGCCAGCGGAGATCCGTAAGGTCCACGGCCGGCAGACTTGTGAGAAGAATACATAGGCGGACACGTGGACCACCCAGGGCCTGCCCTCCAGGGTCCCATCTCTGTCAGCGGGTCTTACATGAGTGATTCTGAGATGCAGAGTGCAGGGGCGTGGAGGGGTCCCAGGGTCACCAGATAGAGCAGTGACTCAGTCCTGTACGTTCAGCTCTGAGGTCATCCATGCACATGGCAGCACAGTTGGGCAGAGCGGTGACAGAGAGCAAAGGGACATGGTCCCCCGTGTCACACTCCTCCTGGTCACTTTTGCCCAAGGGCGTCTTGTAAACTGTTCAGGCCATCAAAGTCTCAGGTGTGCCGTAGAAATACGACGGTCTAGACCTTCCCGGGACGGATAAGGCGGGTCACAGCACCTCTGCTTGTCCAAGAAGCAACCCACCGGAAGCCTTTCGAATGCGGTCTGAAGCCACAGAAAGCAGCGATGGTGAGAGAGAAGAGCCTGGCCTCAGCCGCAGCCAGAACCCGGTGGCTCAGGACCTCTCCGGCAGCCTCCCCGCTCCCGAGCTTTGGTCCAGACGCACGCGGTCCCAGCTGCGCCCCCCACTGCCCTCTGCCCTGTCCGCGCCCCCCCCCCGCCCAGTCCCCAGCATCGCTCCGGGCCTCCTTTCTCAGGGCACAAACGACTTCCTGCTCCTCCATGCAACTCCTAAACTTGGATTTTTCTTTCTCTCCGGAAGTCCGAGCCTGAGGGTTAGACTTGCTGTGGTCTCCCACCGCCTATCTGTGCCCCTTCAGGCCAGCTTTCCAGCTCTCTGGGCCCGGCTCCCTGGACAGGGTGACAGCTATTCTGGAAAGATCCAGAAATCCGTCCACGAGCTGGTGTCCAGTCCGTGGTCAAACAAGCGTTCAGCGTTACCCGAAGTCCAGCACAGGTGCAGCTGACGTAGCTGAGTAGCTCCGCTCTGAAAGTGAAGTCACTGGGCAAACACTAGGAACCTGCAGCTCGGAGGCCCACCGCCCACCCCCAGATCCGAATCAGGACGGAAATGTCAGATGGATTCCACTCCAAGAACCTCGAACTCGTACCGCAGGATCAGCTGGGCCAGCAGGCCTGACAGCCGATGTACGGGTCCCTCCCACGGGCCACACGAACACACAGCTGGGACTGCCTCATGTCACACAGGGACGACACCTGGGGGTGGTGCACGAGCAGGAACGATGCGGGGAGCGGCCAGGTGGTGGGGAGGTCAGGCCATGCGTGCACTGGGTAAGACCACTGACCATCTCTGGGCTTGAGCGAGGACTGCCCATCGTGGGCTTGCTGCCTTCGGGGAGGGGGTCTTCTCCCCTCTCCTCTGCTGTCGCAGGCTCCCGCGGTGGGGGGGGAGGTGCAAAGAGCAGCAGGGGAGTGATCTGCCAGCAGCTCTGCCCTGTCCCGAGGGCCACTTCCTCTCCCACAGTGGACACCTGCTTCCCAGTACTTTCCGTGTCCTCACGGAGCCCTGTCTGCATCTGGTCCTATGGGACCAAGGCTGAGCCACTCAGGTTTTCTGAACCTCATGCACTTTCCATATGCACCAAGGGTCATCTTAGTCCTGACCTCTTGAGGTCCCCGTGAAAACAGGAGCTTACAATCTGGAGATGGTCTCGCATGAAATAATACCTCTCGCCAGCCTCCCTATCATTAGCAGAACTCCCCAAACCCACCAGCAATGGGCAGGGACAGAGAATCAGTCCGTGTCCAGAATCATTTTGGAGCTGAAATTGATCCCAGAAGCCACGCAGCCGGGGAGTCCTTGAGTCTGGGATTCCCACTGTGGTGGCACAAACACCACTGCTTTGGGGAGCGTGGGGTGACAGACGTGGGGGCCGGTGTAAGACCCTACGGAAGAAGCCGCAGAACAGGAAGCATAGGCTCTGCCCAGGGGGCTTTAAACTCAAGCATTTGGAACACAATGCTAGCCCTCCCCCACAACCAGAAAAAAAGAGAGAAAGAAAACACGGGAAATATGCTGAGAGCCTCAGTCCAGGCTGAGGACCACAAGGGTGACACGCGCTCTCCATGGGCCACTGCCTACATCCCCGACAGACCATAGTCAAGAGTGGGTGGTGAGACGCAGTTAGGGGTTCCACATGTGGTGGGGGCTCCCTGCTTCTCCAGGAGCTAGTTTGTGGGCCGACCCCAACCTGGTGAGGGCCAACTCCCTCTGGTCCCCAGGGTGAGGGACACGGGTGATCATCTCACTGCCGTGTGGCTCCCGGGTGGCCTCCCCCACACCCCCGCCCCCCACGAGCGCTCGCATGGTCACTCACTGTCACCTTTCTCAATCTTGCGGCCCCCATGCCGGAGCGGATGGCGTCCATCAGGGCCTGCCTGGCTTCAGCGGGGTCTCCGGAGCTGGACCTGGCTGCCGTCCTGGACGCGGAGGGAACCTGTGTGGCCGATGGGGGCGGGGGCGGCAGGGAGGGCGGGGGCTGAAGGCCAAGGTCACGCCGTCCAGGTGGCTCCGAGGACGGCTCGGCGTCCCGGAAGCTCCGCAGCTCCTCAGAGGCGAAGGATGACACCTAGCGATGAGATGTGCGGTGATGAGGTCCCAGTGGGCCTTCTGGAAGGGCCGCATGCCCACGGCCTCACGGAGCCCACAGCAAGCCCGGAGGGGTGAGAGCTGCTGCCTGCGCCTTCCTGAGAACTCCCTGACCTCCTGCCTTGCCTTGGTGGGGGAGGACAATCCGGAGGCCGCCCTGTCCACTCCGACCAGGTGTCGGGGAGTAAAACTCCCACCATGCTCTTCCTTGGATTCTGCAGCTGGAAGCTGGACGACACTGTCCTGCTCCTAAGGTCGGGGCCACCTGGGCTCCCGGGGCTCTGCCACGTCAGCCAGAAGACCAGCGACTTTGCCCTCAAGGAGAGACAGCCCTGCGGCCACACTGGGTGCCCGAGAGCTCGGGAAATGCTCCATGCCAGGTGGACATGTGGGGGGGAGGGGACAGCTCCCGGGGGCCTGGCCCCTCCCCTGCAGGGGCTGCCCTCCGCGCCAGCCCCCTCCCCTGCAGGGGCTGCCCTCCCCGCCAGCCCCCTCCCCTGCAGGGGCTGCCCTCCGCGCCAGCCCCCTCCCCTGCAGGGGCTGCCCTCCGCGCCAGCCCCCGTCGTCCTGCGTTACCCACGCTGACGGTGACGCAGCTGACACTCAGGACACGGGAGCGCTGGCCCGGCTTCTGCAGACCTGCGTGGGGACCGGGTGCGGGGCCACCCCCCACGGGACGCCCTCCTCTCACCTGCCGCAGGCTGCAGGCACCGCGGTGCCCTCGGATGGCCGCCAGCAGCGCGGAGCGCTCGCCCGCTGTCTCCGTGGAGCACGGCTTCCTGGGCCCTCCCTCGGACGTGTGCTCTGAGATCTAGAATAGTCAGTGTCGACCCAGGTCACCGGGAAGAAATGCTAAGTCGGACAGCACCGGGGGACAACGGCACTACCTAGCAGCTGAGGGCTCTAGGAGGGTCAGCCAGCCCCGCATTAGAAGGAAGAGGTTTTCCCACGGGACAGTAGCCGAGGTAAGACTGCATGTTGACCTTAGGGCAGCTAATGAGCAAAGGGCAGGCGTGCGGGCTGCTGGTACGGCCGCTGCCCTCCCGAAGACCATGCGCGCTTTGAAGTCCTGCAGACCCGAGTGAGAATCCTGGGCCCCCAGCTGCTGGCGGTGTGGCCTCGGGCCAGCTCCCCTGATTGTGCTCTGCCTCAGCTGCTCATCTGAGAAGTGGAGCGGACAGCTCCCAGTGCGGGGCGTTGGGGCCGAATGCCTGGCTGGGGAGGGAATGTCCCACACTGTCCCAGTTGCTACTGAACAATGACAGGTTGAGCTGCCAGAGGTGTGGGAACATCAGGCAGGAGTGACCCTGGCCTGACTGTTCACGGACTCACACCATCGTTCCCGGTCCAGTTAGGGGACACCCACCCCCCACCTCTCTGCTCCCCTGGGCCCAGATGTGGAACCTTTATCTTTGACATCTTTCCCCAGGGGAGTCAGGGGTTTAAAGGCAATGGGACAACCCCAAGCCCGTTGGTTTTTCTCTCTTCTGTGGTTCTCAACCCTCTAAGGCCGAGAGACGAAGCCCTCGGTGGAAATTAAACCCGAGCATCTGGTTCCTTGTTCCGTTAGCCCGCCCCTCCCCCAAGGCCCCAAGGATCTGCGTGGGGAGCCCCTAAGCATGGGTGGATATGGAAGGTGTGTCTGTGCGCCAACGGCAGGTGACTGGCCGCTCACCTTGCGAAGCCTGTCCTTCCCTCCCGCCGAGTGGATGGCTTCCATGAGAGCGCTGTGCAGCGACGTGTCTTTTGGGGCTGGCCTCTGGACCACGGGTCGGAATTTCTTCTTTGGCCCAAAGATGCTGGATGGCAACGTACCGTCCGTCTCAGGCACGTCTGTGCACAACAAACTGGGCTTTTCCTCATGCTCTGGGGGCTCCTGTTGGGCGTGGTTATTCGTGCCGGACCCTCTCGGAGAGCAAGGAGGCTCGGCGTGGATGGGGACCCACTGGGAGTCATTCACCAGGGTCCTGCCCAGGGTCTGATCGTCTCCTGGGCAGGGAGGCGGGGGCTCTGGACCGTCCAGTGTGTACTTGGAGGCAGAAGCTGAGCTGGTCCCGGGGTTCCTGGTGCTCAGCTTTCCCCTGAGGCTCCAGCTCTGTGTCACAGAAACGTGATTCCTGACGGGCGGGACGTGGGGACCTCTGTGGACACCAGCAGAACAGTCTGGAGTGCACAGCTTTCCCGGAGGGCTGCTGTCCTGTGCTCTGGGCAGGGCTCCTACTGCCGAGGCTTCACTCTCGGTAGGGGAGCGTGTGTCTGGGTATGGCCTGGGGGCCGTGCCATCTCTCCTCACAGGAGGTGGTCCGTCCAGCTCTGGTGCTCTGCCTTCCCAGGTCTCCTTGGCATGCCCATGCTTCCTCACCGTGTCAGCAGGGGCTTTCTGGGGCCCCATCTTCTTGGCAATGGCAGAGGCCACGTACTGACTGGACGTTCTTCTCTGAGGCTTGAGAAATGGGACTTCTGTGGTGTTCGCTGCTGGCACTTTCCCATGACCAGGGGCTTGCACGGGTGGCCGGCTTCCGCCCTCCTCTGGATGTCTCCCCTCTTCTCCATGGGCAGACTGCTGCGGGGGCGATGTCACTTTGGGGCCTGGGAGTCTGCTTTCTTGAGGCTGTGGCTTTGCTGGCGTGGCGGCAGTGGGGGTCCTCTTGGCGGAGCCCTCCGTGGGCTGGCCAAAGTGTTTCTCTAGGGAGTTGGACCTCCAGAACTCTTTGACCTTTCCAATGGGTTGGGTTTCCGAGTCAAGGGCGGACGGTGACAGGGCTGTGGTCCTGCCCCTGTTCACGTGGGGATTCACCAGATTCCCGAGCTCATCAATCTTGATGGCACCCGTTGAGAGCGAGACCCCTCTGTCATAACACCTCATCTCTGATTTCGGAGGAACGATTTTATACGTCGTGAGGCCGTATCTAAGTCCGTAACGTCCCCCTGGGTTTTGGCCCCGTTGATACCACGATGGTGGTGCCGAGCCACAGCTCTTACCCTCGCCTTCCCTGTCCCTCACTGGCTGGGCACTTGCCTTCTTGCTGGCCTGTGTCTTCCCACCGAGGGCAGAGCCAGGCCCCTCGCTGCTCTGTTCTGCATCTGGGCTGTGCATGGGAAACGCTGCAGTCACCTTGGGCTCCATTTTAGTCAGATTCACAGCCTCAGAGGAGTTGGATGGGGCGGGTTTGCTTTCTTTCCCGATGTCGTGGGGAGGAGCGGGTGAGCTGGGTCCTTCTGCCTTCCTTCCCTGTTGCTGGCTGTGCTCCCCCTGACGTGGTGGTGGTGGGGTTTCCAGGCCCACTGTGCCCCCCAGGTCAAAAGAACCAGCGTTGTTGTTTCTATTGGAAAACACCCCCGAATCTACAGGGTCGTCGAAAACCTCCCCGATGAAGGTGACTGGGATTGTGTCCTCATCGAACTCGGGGACGGTGGCTTCTGGCACACAGGGAGGGGACACGCCGTTCATGGAGCCTGTCGGCAGACTGCTGCTGGCTTCGGAGCTCTCTTCCAGTTCTGCAAAGGAGGACAGACACACGTCTTATGGATTGCCACCCCGGTACGAATCCCAAGCCGATGACTTACTGTAATCACACCCTGGCTTTGACCTTCCTGAGGTTATTTTTGGGTAAGTTGTTTAGGTACATTTTAAAGTGCCATTTCAATTGGTCACTTACATACACCTGGGGCCCCCATTTCCCCTCTGATGGCTCAACAGAGGAGCTCTCTGCACAGCTGCCGTGTCTCAAGGTAAGGCGTTCAGGTACAACATTTTGCCAACATCCGTGGGTTGCAAACGAGATCTGTAAACCTGAGCCCCCTGGAAAGGCTGTCTCACACGGAACACAAAGGTGGGTTTTGGGTTTTGACCTTCAGCTTACTCGCGTTCATCAGAAGCACCACAAACCCCATGGGGGAGAAGTGCTCGCACATCTGGAGAGGCAGATGACTAACTCTGGGCACTACCTCAGAATTAGCCCTAAGGGACACAGTGGGTTCCCTGGTCAGAGCCAGAGGGACACGGGACGACCATTTCAGCTTTTTCAGCTCTGTCAAGCACATCTTAAGAGGACAGAAGGCCGACAAGCCAGTAGACTATGGATGAGCTCCGCACTCCGTTTCGTTCTGGTATCTGTTTGAAGGCATGGCCCATACCGAAATTTCTGGATTACCGTCACCATGCGCCCTTATTTGAAAGATTCCTTGATTGTCTACTGAGATCGTCTGCATCTGCTTTGGCCATAAAGCATCACCTTCCCCACACCTATCTGTACCGCAGCAAGCGTTCCACCATTAACGGGTTCACCGCTGAGGCCGTGTGCACTGCATTTCCCTCCGAGACGTGCCAAATGTCAGCAAACCAAGTGGCGCAAGTCGTCGTCGGAAACCTGTTTGCCTGTGTCCCCCAGTGCTTCCCAAACTCATCCGGCACTGTAGAACTTTGTTTTCTCATGTGTGTAGAACCCCCCCCCCCCCCGATGCACACAAACAGCACCACCCAGAGCACTGGAGCCACGGTTCAGAGTGTCCACAGTACGTCCTGCAGCCCTGATGGGAAGCCATTTCGAGAGCTGTGCTCACCTGCCTGCCCCTACACCCGGGCTTTCTTCTGCAGGAACTGGGTTCCTCCCACCCGCCTTTCCCGCCGGGAGCCACAGCAAGCATAACCCCCAGAGCCTACGGCCGCCCAGCGTAACACTAGCAGGACAGACGGTCGTGCTCACCTTCCAGCTCCTCATCCAGCTCCTCGAGGGTCTTCTGGAACTGCCCAGTGAGAAACAGGTCTTCTTCGCCACTGGAGGTTATAGTCACTTCGGGTCTAGGGAGGACCAGAGAGAAAGGAAGGGCGTTCGTTTTTCTCATCCTTTATTTCTTTTCTCTTTTCTGGGACTGTCCAAGGAAGGCACAAGTTCATGCACTTCTGTACTCATGGGGTCCTGTTGCTCTCGGGGCTGCTGGGATGCAGTGGGGGTGTGCACGTGTGCGCACACATGCATGTGTGAGTGGTAGCAACAGTTATAATAGGGACAGTGATAACCGCCTTCCCCCAAGACTGGACAAAGCACCCCCAGGGAGGGCTGCCTGCTGTCCCTCCGTTCCAGGCACGCCCCAGGCTGCAGACACAGGACTTCTGCACGAGTGGTCTTATTACAAACATTACAAACAATTTATAAGGCAGGTAGGATTCTCGTTGCTTACAGATAGGAAACCAGGTGCCCAGACACTAACGGATCCAGCCAAGTTCACATGGGCTCAAACCCTGGGGGAAAGCCGGCCACCTCCACTGTCCAGAGACACCATGTGGCCCCACCACCTGGACATCCAGGAAGATGCCAACCCGCCTGCTGAGGGGAGCCGGAACTCGCCTTATTTGCGTCACTGGGACAATAGCATCCACGGGACGTCCAACGTCAGAACAATTTCAACGCAGCCTTTGCAAGGGCTCTTGTCTCTGTTTTGGCTGCGCGGAGAACAGAGACATGTCGAGGGTAATTGTCTGTCTTCAGTGAAAGCTGAAGGTCTTTTCCGCTGATTGTTAAAATTGAGGACCAATTTCCATCATTGCTAATCAGGCCCAGCTAATGATGCATGAAATGTGCTTTCCACAATCCTCACTTACGTAGCAAAGTTCGTGTTCTGATAAATGAATCTTTCTTACTTGGTGGCTGTGTCCTTTTGGGAGCGAGGAAGCAGCATCCAGATTAGTCTCAGCTAATGTCCTCTGACAAGCCAGACAAAAGGGTCTGGTTTTGTGTGCATGTGGGCCAATTAATAAGGACCGAAAAGAGCAAAGACGGCCTTTGCTACTGCTGTTGCTTGGACTGGAATTGAATGCATTTTATTAAAGCTGTGGTTTTCTCTTTTATGGACCCTTACGGTTTAAGTGTATTTCACTTACATAGTTAACAAAAATATGTACGGAGAAAAAAATGAATAGCGCTATGTAAAATTATATTTGCAACTGAAAACGGTACTTTTATAATACTCGATCTTCATTTGGGATGCTTAAGGCTCAGCTAAACAAAATTCTACATGTACTTTTGCTTCAAAGTACTGCAAATACTTCAAAACGTGCTAAGCCATATCGCTTCATGAGAACAGAGTGATCTTAATGAGAGTTAAACACCGATTTAAAATAAGAATCCCACTAATGCTATCATTTTATACATGTTAAACTAGAAAGTCATGGCAAGCTGATGAAATGCGGGGAAGCTGAAACCCTCACACTTGTTGCTACCGGCACGGGATGGAAATGCACATCGAGAAACAAAACGTCACTTTAGCTTTGTAGGAACTTGGTTCACGAGTCTCTTTTGGTAGTTTGCCTTAAGGAAATGATCCTACAGCAAGCAAAAGAGAAACACAACAGTGTTCATCGAATTTATGCGAGGAATTCCAAAGCATCTAGCAACACTGCGTGTTGATTTCAAAGGGCATTAAAATCAGCCGATTTTGAACCTGGAGTCAGTGTGGAGTCACAGCTCAAGGCTGAAGGGCAGCATGTTACGTGAAGAAATCAAGACACACGCATGGGAGGAGCCTGATGGTCTGGAACCAGCAAACGCCCATGGACAAGGGTAGAAATTTAGACAACCACCACCAACCCCTGGGATTTGTTGAAATGAATGAACTACAGGAGTCTGCTATCCCTTTTGTCTTAGAAGTATACTCATTTTGGTACAGGACAGCTTGGACAATAGGCAATCTTTAAGATATTTTTAAAGATTTTATTTATTAGAGAGAGAGAGACAGAGAGCAGGGGGAGGGGCAGAGGAGAGAGAGAATCTCAAGCAGACTCCACACTGAGCGCGGAGCCTGACATGAGGCTCGATCTCACGACCCTGCGATCATGACCTGACCCAAAATTAAGAGTCGGACGCTTAATAGACTGAGCCACCCAGGTGCCCCAGTAGGCGATGTTTTAAATGTCCAAATTAAAAATAACCCTTTGGGCCCTTTCTGACCATGAAAGAGAACTCTTTTTTTGCAAAGTAGTTCACATTTTTGGGATATGGTGCATGATTTGCACAGTACATTATTTTATTTCATTATCAGTGCTTAACAATCCCCGTGAGTCTCAGTCAGCCTGAGCTGCCCCCTAAAAAGCCATCGGTAGCCAAACCCCAAGGGCTTGGGGCTCCTCAGCCGTTCCCCATCCCTCCACAGTCCAAGCCTTCCTGCTGAAGTCTGGGGACCCTACCCGAGTTCTAGAGTTCTAGTCCCTCCTCCCTGCTTCTGCTCTCCTGTGCCCCCTTTCCTCTGCCTGCCTCAGATTCCCCGGATGCTGTCACTCAGTCCCATTCCAAACCCCTCCCCACCTTGCACCTCCCGCGGCCCTGTGACCAGACCCTCCGATGTGGGCTGGCCTCCTTGGGGCCCTGCCTGCCCAAGGGGACGGAGTGGACACGTGATGGGAGCTGCCGGCCTGGGAGGGAGGGTCTGTCTAGGGTCCTTGGCTGGGGTGCTGCCCCCAAGGCTGTTGACCCACTTGGCTCATGCAGCCAGCTCCTCCCATAATGCAAAGCAGGGGAACCTGTGCCCTGGGCCCCGACCTTCTCGCGAATGTTTTCTGGAAAAAGCCAAAGCCAATGTCAACGTATCTATTGCCAGTGTAAAATCCCATGAGGGAGACATTGAGTGATATTTGCTTTTCCTTCCTCGCCCACTGCTCTCTACTTGCCCCCAGAAGATTGGTTACGGATTGTAACTATTCCTCTGTCCCTGCACAGACCAGTCCAAAGCCCTTCGTCCCTGAGCTTGGAGGTCAGCGTTCTGTGGGCTGAGCAGGAGAGCCCGACAGTGTGTCCCTGGAATGGAGAGCTGACAAGAAGCAGCCACTTCTGCGTCGTTGAAAGTGAACGCGCACAGATGCTCCTCTCCCGGGCACCATCAAGTCCCCCCACGTACACCCCAGCCTTCAGACAGTTTGGCGTTGACAGTCTGTTTTGGCCAAAGACCAAGAAAAACAAAGCGCAAACACACACAGTGCAGACGTTCTGATACAGGGTCGTACACCCTGAATAAACACGATCGGCAGCATTTTCTCACACCGAGTGCAGCCGCAGAGAACCCAGCTTGCGGTGACTTCTGCATCCAGTGTGAGGGACAGAGGGCAGGGGGGCGAGGGCGTCAGGGGGACCGAGCCCCCCATGCGGCCCACAGCCTTGCCAGCTTCTGGCGATAGGATACGTAGGAGCAGTTGTGTCAAAACAGCCCCAGATAGATTTGTTTTTTTTTTATTGTCAATTTATATGAGAAAGAATAAAAGAGCATGGGCTGATTCTGACCCAATGAGGCTTGTGGGGTCATTTCTCTCTCTTTTTTTAAGATTTCATTTATTTATTGGAGAGAGAGAAACTAGGAGCAGGGGGAGAGGCAGAGGGAGAGAGGCAGAGGGAGAAAGAGAAACAGACTCCTCGCTGACCAGGAAGCCCGATGCGGGGCTCTATCCCAGGACCCTGGAGTAATGACCTGAGCCAAAGGCAGATGCTTAACCAATGGAGCCATCCAGGTGCCCTGGTCATTTCTCTTTCTGATGTAGCCAAAAGAGTTTCCTTAAGTAATTTATCCAATGGCAGAATTAAGAAAAAAAAAAAAAAGTCTGAGAGGAAAAAAGATGTCCCTTTCAGGTAGCAATTCAATTTGTTGAGGACAACCAAACTGACTCATGCATTTTCAAAACAATTACTTGATAAACAAAAGGCAAGAAGCTTGGGAAAGTCTACAGCTGATGGCAATCATATGTGTGCAACTTCCCTTTCCATTTACAAGTGTTCCTGTATTTATGGAGCTTCAGAGTTCTAGAATCACCATGTCCCCTAAAAATAGAATAGGAGCCATACGTAGAATTTAAAATCTTGTGGAAAAAAAAAATAGGAGAAATAGGTGAGATTAATTTTAATTAAGTACTTTAACTTCACTTGTATTACACCTTAATTAGTATACTTGATTTAACCCAATACTTATGCCACATTATTGTCATTACGTATTATCATGTAGTTAATATGAAGAACTCTTTTCTTTACCCCAAAGTCTGTGTCTTCTACACTCCCACACATCTGCATTTGGGTCAGCTGCCTCAAGGGCTCAGTAGCCGAACACGGACAGAGCAACTGTATGGAGCAACCCAGCTCTGCAAAGTCTGAAGTGGTAAGTATGCATGTATGTATGTATTTTTTGAGGGTTTTTTGTTTGTTTGTTTTTGTCTTTTGTTTTGTTTTGTTTTGTTTGGAGTGGTTTTTAAATGCTCCTTTGTAAACGTAGTTACATGAAAAGTATCTGGGTTTTAGGATGTGTTAAATAATTCTAGGTACTCTCACAAAGTTCTAGGGTTCTAGAAGGTCTGAGATGCTTCTAGGTGCTGCTGGTCACAGAGTTCCTGCGGTTGTAGAGTCCTGGGGCCCCCTGGCCAGCACCAGCCAGTGGAAAGGCAGGACCCTGTCTCTTCCAGCCCCTCCACTGCCCCACACACCCTCAGTTCCTCGACGTGACCAGAAACTCATGCCCTATAGGGCCCCACAGGTCTCACTGCTAATGTCCTCATGCCTACCACCTGCTGTCAGCTGGGGCTGAGATGGACTTGGGGATGGCCAGGAAGAGGATGGGGGGTGAGGGGGATGGCAGGCAAGACAATGGGGGGGCCTCCCTTCTCCTGAAGGGGCTCCACCTTCTGTCCTTTGTGGCTCTAATCCGCTTTCAGTGGGGTCCTACCTTTAAGGAACACAGCCTGAAATGCACTTATCCAACCTCTCACCTACTCCTGGCTGCTGTGCGGATGTTTCCAAAAGGCACCCAGAATTTACAGTCCCACGATGTTGA